AAAGGAAACTCGTCAAGTTAAAAAACTGGAAATGCCACAATTTTCAACCAAAGAGGTCACCAAGCAAGAAGTTGTACAGGTTCAAAAACTTAACACTAGCCTCTTTGAAAATCAAGAGCCAAAGGAGCAAGAAGTGAGAAAGGAAACCATTCAAGTCAGCAAGCTCCAAATACCACAGTTTTCAACCAAAGGGGTCACCAAGCAAGAAGTTCTCCAGGTTCAAAAACTCAACACTAGCCTTTTTGAAAATCAAGAGCYRAAWGAGCAAGAAGTGAAAAAGGAAACTCGTCAAGTTAAAAAACTGGAAATGCCACAATTTTCTACCAAAGAAGTCATTAAGCAAGAAGAGGTCRTTCAGGTACAAAAGCTTAATACCAGCCTCTTTGAAAATCAAGAGCCAAAAGAACACGAAGTGAGAAAGGAAACTCTTCAAGTCAAGAAGCTACAAATGCCACAATTTTCAACTAAGGAAATCACGAAGCAAGAAGAAGTTGCWCRTGTAAAAAAGCTCAACACAAATATATTTGATAACAATGACAGCACTGACGGACAATTCCCTCAAGATAAAACAGTCAAAATTAGCAAACTTCAAATCCCACAATATTCCACGAAAGAGGTTACAAAGCAAGAAGTTCTCCAGGTTCAAAAACTCAATACTAGCCTCTTTGAAAATCAAGAACCGAAARAGGAAGAAGTGAGAAAGGAAATTCGTCAAGTTAAAAAACTGGAAATGCCACAATTTTCTACAAAAGAAGTCATCAAGCAAGAAGAGGTTGCTCAGGTACAAAAGCTTAATACCAGCCTTTTTGAAAATCAAGATCCAAAAGAGCAAGAGGTGAGAAAGGAAACCATTCAAGTCAGCAAGCTCCAAATACCACAATTTTCAACCAAAGAGGTCACCAAGCAAGAAGTTGTCCAAGTAAAAAGGCTTAACAACAACGTTTTTGAAAATCAAGAGCCAAAAGAGCATGATGTAAAAAAGGAAAACCTTGAAGTTAAAAAACTGCAAATGCCACACTTTTCAACGAGAGAAGTCAAAAAACAAGAGGTTGTCCAAGTTAAAAAGCTCGACACCAAACTTTTTGAAAATCAAGAAACCAACCACCAAGACAGGAGAAAAGAAGTCCAAGTCAACAAGCTCCAAATACCCCAATTTTCAACTAAAGAGATTACCAAGCAAGAGGAGGTTGTCCAGGTCAAAAAGCTCGATACTGACCTCTTTCACACCAAAGAAACACATGAATACACACCAAGCAGAGAGACTCAGAGGGTAAGCAAATTACAAATACCGGAATATGCAGCAAAAGAAGTTACCAAACGGGAAGTCGTACAAGTACAAAAGCTAAACACCGACCTCTTCAAATATCAAGAGCCAAAAGAACAAGAAGTTAAAAAGGAAACACTTCAGGTCAGCAAGCTCCAAATACCACAATTTTCAACCAAAGAGGTCACCAAGCAAGATGCTTTCCAAGTCAAAAAGCTCAACTCAAATATGTTTGAAAACAAAGACAGCACAGATGGGCATTGGCGTCAAAAGGAATCCGCGAGAGTCAACAAACTTCAAATACCAGAATTTTCGACAAAAGAGGTTACCAAGCAGGAGGAAGTTGCCCAGATCAAAAAGCTTGATACGCAATTCTTTCAATACAAACAGCAAGAAGAGTGCAGCTCTAGCAGAGAGAGTCCAAAAGTAAGCAAATTACAAATACCAGAATACACCAACAAAGAAATAACACGYCARGAAGTTGCGCAAGTACAGAAGCTCAATACAAATYTATTTGAAAATCAACAACCACAGGGTCCGATACCAAGACGRGAAACTCAACAGGTAGGCAAATTACACATACCACAATACTCGTCCAAAGAGGTCACTAAACAAGAAGAGGTRGTCCAGGTGCAAAAGCTTAGTATCGCAGAGTTTGAAAACAAACCAGAYGAATTTTCTCCCAAGACACAGGCCCATAAGGTTGGAAAATTACAAATACCAGAATTTTCAGCCAAAGAAGCTACCAAACAGGAAGTTGTGCAAGTGCAAAAGCTCAACGCAAATCTCTTTGCGAATCAATTATCAAATGAACAAGAACTGAGAAAAGAGMTTCCTCRAGGAGCAGTCCAAGTAAAAAGGCTCAACACCGACYTCTTTGAAAATCAACAATTTAACCAACAAGAATTAAGAAAAGAAACCCCTGAAGTCAGAAAACTGCAAATACCACAATATTCAAGTAGAGGAATCGCCAAGCAGGAAGACGCTACCCAGGTAMAAAAGCTAAATACTAACCTCTGGGGACAAAGAGAAAATTTTGAGAGACCTGCCAACAAAACAGAGTTATCTRCAGTGAACAAATTGCATATTCCAGAATATGAAAGCAAAATAGTCAGTGGGAACGAAAATGTGGTAAGAAATGAACCTTCCCCACAAGTRAACAAAGTTCAAATACCTCAATATTATTCAACAAAAGAGATTGTCAAGCAGGAGCAACCTGGAAAAGTTCAAAAACTGAATACCAACGTATTTGAAACCATACCAAATACTGAAGGAAGTAAACAGAGAAGAGAGGTCAACAAATTGAAAATACCAGAGTACTATAACCAGTCTTCAAGACAAGTTRGACAAACTGCRAAACCTTATTCAAATAAGTTACAAACCCAACAAGACATYAACGGCTTGCAATTTCCAGCCAAAACAAGCAGGTAAATATGATTATGCTATTAAAAAGTAAGAAAGTAGCCCCACAAGGACGTAAAGTACATAAAGGAGCTAAAATTGAGCAATAATACTATCGTATAATTTACTTATCTATCTTTTTTACTTTTTATAGGTCATCCAATAACGCTGCAAGAATGAGCAATGAGGTATGAGTGACTGGAGATACATTTGTGGGGTCATTTAGGGCCAGTTATCTACAACTAAACAATTCCTGTTATTTTTATTTATTTTGAATTTATTTTTTCCCTTTGGTATGTAGTGCGGGATGCATGCATGCATGAGCAAGAGGCTAGCCAGTATAGAACAAGTGTTAAATAAATTGTTCTCCCATATTTTTTTCCAGAAGTCTCCCATCTTACACTWTAAATAGCAATCTGGAAAGGTAGCAAAGTAATAGTACCATTTTGTAGAGAGAAGATTGTTCATATATTATAAGTAGATTAAGCCATTTTCCCAGGGGCTGGAAGGTGGTAGGGGCTGATAGGAGAGAGATGCCCTGCCTGGTGCACACATGCATCACCATTTTCTCCATTTTTGTAAGGGAATAGTAAAAARGATTCTTTTTATATTGCTATGTTCTATTATTATTAAGGCTAAAATTCAAATGAACATGAGGAAAAATAATTAAAAAGGTTAACTAGACTCTTTCTGATATAAAAACCCATAGAGTTCTTTCAGTAAAAGCTTGAAACMCTGATTACCAAATTGTGCAAAATAGTGCTAGTTGACAAGAGAAAACAAGTTTTAATTAAAATTAGAATAATTTTTATGCACAAAATGGCATTACTAATTTTTCATGCTTTTACTAAAAACGCTTTAAAAGCTCTGCTTATAACTCAGCAAATTCCTAATTATTATAATTAGTTCCTTATTTTCTTACATATAGTACAAGGGTAATTCCTCATATGTGAACAATGACGATGACAACAAACATGACTCAAAGCATGGATCAATGGGTGATTATGGGAAGAAAGCTAGTAATATCTATACTGCAGGAGGCCAAACGTTTGTGCAAWYAGACAATGCAGGAACTGCTTTTGTTAACTATAATCATGGTAAAAAGCARCCAAGCAATAGCTACACTGGTGYGGATGATTACTCTTCTGGTAAGAGTGATGATTGCCATATTMAACAAGTTCTMTATTTAACATTTAGCACACACCAAACTAYATCATGAATCTGGCATTKTGATYGGCCAGTATCCATGYACAAGTTAATGGCCTAGCATAATGAATTCTGCTTAGCTATCATACTAGAGGTCTTTTAATTAACAAATTAGTTAAGTCAATTTAGTTAACGACAAAATGTCATAGACCACAACATTGACTTAATTGGAAAATGGACTTTCAAATCATAGYGCATGAACAAAAAWWWTTTTTATGTTTTTCTGAATGAAAGCATTGTCTATTACGTGTATGATGATACAAAAAGGTCAAGAACCAATCAGAATTCTGGACTAGTGACAGTCAATAATTTGATATACTAATACCGGATGGTTCAAGGTTGTTAAATGTKCTTTTGTGCTGGACCATGGTTTCATTGAGAAAAGTGCAAAAAGAATTTGTTGCTGTTGTTGTTCTTGTTGCTGTTGTCATCRTTGCTGTTGTTTCTGCTGCTGTTGCTGTGGTTGTTAATGCTATGGGATTTCTTGGTGGATATTAAAACAATTAGACCATGCTTTCTCACAAACCAACTGCAATGATCTCCTGGTCTAATTGTTAAGTAATCCACTGGCCTTGTGTTATAAACTCCTTCAAAGTTTATTTCTGATATAAATATTGCTTAATTCTAATATTAGAAGTAACTAATCACTAACCTCACCTTTAATTCAGAATACAATAAGACCCAAAGCACTGAATATCCTTTTGCTGACCAAAGTGACATTCTTCACGAGRRAGACAATGGAAGCAGGGTGACATATTCCACACGAACAAAGATTCCTTTTGAGAAAAGAGCGTCATTAGGAGCTAAAGATGACAATGCTCCTCAAAGAAAAGAAATATTAAAGGAATTCAAAAGGAAAAGTCTGAAAAAGAAGGACATAGAAGATGCTGATGATTTTGAGTCAGCTAATGTAAGACCAGCACTGTTTTCGCACAAAAGAAAAGGAGTACTTGTTTCCTAAAATTAAAGGTAATTTATAACACATATAAAGGAGCTGTATGTATCATCTAAACTACACAAGTTTTGTAAAACTCGCATTGGTTCTTTATTCATTATTTCACATTTCTTATGTAGCTGGATATTATCAAGAAAATCATAAGCTGTAAGCTCTATAAAACTAGACAAATTCCCCGGGGCCGGGACAARTTCTTAGTTCAAGAGATCTGACCTAAGCTTACGAGTTTATGCTGCGACGATTTTTAAAACATTAATACTAATATTTACTTTATATATTTTGCAGTTTTTTAGCAAAATATGCTTCGATAGGATAATTCTGTAATATGGAAAGAAAAATCCAGCTTCGCTTTGTAAAGAATTTCGAAGATTTGCTTGAAAGTCCTTGGTAGAGCGGCCGTAATGCCGTTCGGAAAGACCGAATAACGACACGAAAGTCATAAGAATTGTAGTCTCTTCTTTGAAATTATTATTTCAAATACCTTCRGTGTTTTGACGGTTCTCCAACGAGCGTTTTACAACTCATAATTCTTCATCCCGTACAATAAAAACTTTATTGAAAATGCGCGGGAATTTCACTTCCTCTGTGCCATCTTGTTTTCTTATGAGAGAAACCGCTAATAGACAATGATCGCGGGCGTGTAATTAGAAGAGCGCAAACTCGGATTTCTTTCGTTTTGTATTCATATTTCTATATTATTTTTCACAGGACAAAAGTACCAGAAATAGATATAACAGACAAGTAGATGAAGTAATTAGCAATTCATAATAAAGAGCAAGTACAACAGGCATCAGCTGAGCTACAAAAGACATTACGGTGAAACCCCTGAGTAAGAGGTCGAAAGAGCAAAGTTCGCCTATATCTTCAGCTCTCGTTGTATCTGATATCTGTCGTAATAGTTTTGTACGCATAGTTAGGGAGCGTCCACTTTAAGAGCGTTACAATTATTTTCAGCATTTTCAAAAACATTYTTTGGGTTCGAAGCCAATTGAAGGACCAAAAAAATTGTGTGGTTTAGTTGGGTCTTGCATATAACCCTAGAGTAACTGAAAAAAATAGACTTAAGTCTGACCTAAAAATGAAAGTTCGTATTAGAGTTCGAAACAGCCGAGATCTAGTATGACTGATAATTTTTAAGCGGATCGGTAGAGGGGGTTGTTAGGGTTAGGGTTAGGACCCAGGACTCCTAGGGGGTCAGTGTTGCGGGTATCCGCTGTAGTTAAACTCCGCGATCGTTGATAGACTTAGTACACTTTGAACATATCGATGTTAATAGACATCCTTATTCAATATTTAGTAGGGAAGCAATGATTCTTTTAATTTCGCTGGAATTTTCAAATTAACTTAAAAATGAATTGCTTTATGTAACAATGTTTTTTCTCGATGTTTGGCAACTAWCAATAGCTATAAAATAAATTACTAGCTGCACACACTATCCTATCGCATAAATCTTCATAAAATTGTGTAATTTTTAGCTGTTAATTCAATAAAAAAATGTATTGGCAAGCCGTGTAAATATGTCATGATTACGAGATTGAGGCTCTCTGCTCACCTTTGGGATAGCACAGGGACCCCGAAACTACATCTGTGTTTTGTTGTGTCTTGAAGGGACAAACGACAAAATAACGAGACATAAGCCTGATCTAAAACTGAAAGCAGGTATCAGAGTACGAAACAGTCWACGAGATAGCCGATCTCTGGTGTGACGAAGAGAATTTAAGGGAGGGTACCCAAAGGATCACTGTTGGATGTTATTARTTTAAACTAAAGTCATTCCTTTAATATGCAAAAAAAAATTGAGTAGTAATGATTATTTATAAGATATTTACGGAAAATTTTACTTGATGAAATGTCAAAATATACTGATATGTCACACCAATCAATTTATGGGGTCCCTGTGTTTCATGCAAACTGACACGGAACTTCGAAAGGTCGCTGAATTCAAAGAAATCTTTTGTTCGAATTATAATATAATTGTATATTTGTATTTCTACGTTACAATCTAAAAGACGTGAAAGGAAAAGGACCATGAAAGGAGATACTTTAGATGATTCTGACAAATGATGCTGAAGTTATAAGGTCAAATACAGCTGTTTGACTTAAACTTTATAAAGGAAATGGCTTCTTTCGTTCGCTGGGTTTGTTTTTCTTATTCGCTTTTTCTTCTCTCGTTAATGGGTTTATTTTCAAGCCGTGAAGCCCAGCACCATACAAGACTTTATAAACATGGACATGTTATAATTGGAGGGCTATTTCCAATCCATCTTCAGCAAGTCAACGATAAATGTGTTGGTTTTCGTCCCGAGGCGCTGGCTTGGTCAGWAGCAATGAAAYTAGCCATCGAYAACATAAACCGAAATTCTTCGCTGCTGCCAAATGTGATTTTAGGCTACGATATTCAAGATACTTGTGGCACAGAACAAGTTGCAATATCTTCTGCGGCACAGTTCTCGTTTATTAACACTTTAATGTTTAATGAGAGATATTCAAAGGCCGTTAACTCTTGTGTTGAGGTTTCKTCCAAAGGCAACAAAACACATCCTCCCATTGTTGCCGTTTTAGGCGGAGAGGACTCGCGAGTTTCAGTTAATATGGCGAACGTTTTACAACTTGGTGACATACCACAAATCAGTTATGGTTCAACAAGCGCACAGCTCTCGAATAAAAAAAAATTTCGCACCTTTTTTCGCACTGTACCTTCGGATGCATTTCAATCTCAAGCGATGGCGCAAACTGTCAAAGAGAACAAATGGACTTGTGTGGCTGTCATTGGCACAGACGATGTCTATGGAAGAAGCGGAATCACCTCATTTCAAAATGCTGCGAATGATCAACAGATTTGCATCGCATTAACTGAACTTTTCCCTGTATATGATTCAGAAAACAGAATAAAAATTCTGGTCGAAAAGTTAAAGTCTATGAAACATGTTGAAATTATAATCCTGTAYAGTCTCCCTGCACAGGCTGTGCAAATATTCAAGGAGGCAGTGAAACAAAACATGGTTGACAAAACYTGGATTGCAAGTGACGGATGGGCGGAGTCAACATATGTTCGACAAGAACAATTTATACCGTTGATCCAAGGGACAATAGGATTTGAGTTTCGAGATGTTCACTTTTTGCCTTTAGAAAGGTATTTTATGGATTTGAACAGTTCAATTGCTAATAAAAATGTATGGTGGGAAGAGTTTTGGAGCACACAATTTAATTGCTCRATWAATAATATGCAAAACAATGGCYTGAAACTTTGCAGCGGTGGTGAAAAAATTACAAGTGATTTCTACACTAAGAAACTTCAYTCTCCACTATCTGCTTATGTTGCTGATGCTGTTTATACWGTAGCACATGCCTTGAGCCGTCTTCAGAATTGCATTGGATTAAAGTGTAACAACTTGGCTGATATCACACCAGAAAARATGGTTGAGGCAATAAAGAGGACCTCTTTCAATGGTTTGACAGGAAGTTTTGATTTTTCCCAAACAGAAAAACAAGCAAGATATGATATTGTCAACTTGCAAGTCAACTCATTTGGYTCCATTGAAGCTGTGAACATTGGACAATGGGACAATAATAACCTTAATGTAAACAATGGTAAAATACAATGGCATAAAAATAAAAAGCCAAGGTCCTCATGTGGAGCTGTCTGCCCTAAAGGGACATACAAGGGAAAGCCTATTCAATGCGTATGGGGCTGCTTTGCATGTTCTGAGGACACCTATACTGATGTTGAAGAAAGCACCACTTGCAAAAAGTGYCCTAAAGGTTTTGTACATTCARAGAATTACACCTCTTGTACWGAGGTCCCTCCACAGTATATTCGTTGGGTAGACCCATGGGGAATTGGTTTGCTATTTACAAACTGTGCAGGAATTGTTATGACCCTTTTTGTTTTAGCGATGATCATCAGAAACTACAAAACCCCATTGGTCACTGAAACAGGAGGAATTCTCAATTTGATGCTTCTTATAGACCTTCTTCTTTCTTATGGATTCAACTTTATTTTATTGTCGCCACCGTCCGATTTCAGATGCATATTTTTAGCAATTCTCTTTTACATTATCTATCCAGGAGCTGTTGTAACATTCCTTCTTAAAATACTCTTTATTAGACGTTGCTTTGATGCAAGTAATACTATTGCTATTCAAGGCAGTCCRTCCATTGCAGCAAAGGGCTTTGAWCGTCCAGTTTGGCAGTACTGCRTCTTGGCTTTAGTTGCTGTTCTATTTCCTGTAATAATGTCCATCATTTGGATTATTGTTGGAGATCTTCATTCTGGCAAAGTTGTCATAAACCGAGATGTTGTGTACATGACTTGCCCATCTGTAGATACTGTGGGTGGACAATTACTCAGGTATATCATTGCCGTCTACCTCTTTGTTATTGTTCTTGCTGCTACAGTGTACTCCCATCAAACTAAAAAGATATGCCAGGCGCAAAAGTTTCTGGAATCTAAGCATATGTTTTATGCTCTGGTTCTTTTCCTTGTCACCTTGACAACATTTTATCCAGGCTGGGCACTTATCCAAGGACCTGTTTTGCAAGTATTTGCATGCTTAACAAACATCACTGCTGCAACAGGAGTCATTATCTGTGCATAYGGACCTAAAATCCACCTTCTTCTATTCTATCCAGTCTTAAACACATATGCACATGTTCATCCAGTGCACACCTCTGTTACATCTGCAGCATTGAATATGGGTCTTCACCTTGTGAATACTGGAAGAGGGAGGACAATTACTCTACGTGATGACTCTACACCTTCTCTGCAGTCAAGTCCAGATGTTGGSCGTCGAACTGACACAGTTAACGATAGCAGCAGCTCWCAACAAACTGTGATAAAGCATTCAAATGTTGTTTCTATAGAAGCTTGATTCAAGTATACAACTGTGCAGTTTACTGAAATGAAAAAATATTGACCTTTGATTTAGTCAAAAAAAAAAGACCTGACATATCACAACTTAGCAATACAATATATCAGTTCATTCTTTGACATAAACTTTAACTGTAACAACATGTTGTCTTACTTGTCGCTAATAAGTGCATCATGCTCTTGCATGTAAATATGGTGTGTGTAAATATATGGCAGCTGATATGCTTTAGTTAAACCTTTAGTTTGTCATCAAACTTTAAAATATGATTGTTTGGCTGTAAATAAGTGTGATAAGATCGAGTTGATCTGAAATTAATATTTAAATGAGAAAAGAACAAAAATCATATGAATATACCCTTGATGGACTCATTTTTGTCTATTCTTAAAATTACAGTAAAGGCAGGAATAGCATTCAATCTATGTGCAAATTGTTTGTTTATTGAYTGTTTTCTATCCTAGGAACAAGGCTATTACTGCATGTACTGGAAATTTAAGAATAGTCAGTGCATTTACATGTTAGCAGACAGAATTTTGCAAATAACTAATATAATTCTACTTGACTGTATAATTAAAGAAACTTAGAAATGTTAATATAAAAAAATATAATAGATGTACATTCATTCTATTAAAATAATATATTGTTAACTTTACCGTTAACTTTCTATCAAAAATAAATGCTTTTTGGATAAATGGATAAATTATTACTTCATATTTTTCTTTTTCGTTCAACTTCAACATATCTTTAGCCTTAACGCACTTAGACTTTTTAGCACAAAACAAGTTTCATTTATTCACAAACCTTTTCAATCACTAATAAACTGTTACAATTCATAATAAATTATTGAAAAAAATCAAGTATTTGAGATTGTAACAACCACAGGATTCAAGTGGCACATTTCCTTTTGCTCCTATCTTAATTCCCAAAAGCCCACTCAAAAGCCCTTAGGAATGGTTTCAATTTAGTTAAGATATCATATATTCAATGTACATGCTCTTTGGTGTTCTGTACACCTTTCCCATTTTAAAAACAGTCACAGCTCCAATAATAAACAATATTTTTATTCATTTACATTTCTATAACTTACAAAAATATTTTATGATATGTACATAGAAAAGAGACCTCCTTTGCTAGTTATGGCCTGTTGCTAGCATAGGGATGAGAACTGGTGGAAGCTTTGAGTTCACTTTTTACTGAACTTGACATTTTACCGACTGAAAAACAATAGAGAATCACATTATGCACTAGTTGTACATATATCATTAAACTACAAAAAAAAAAAAAATTGATAAAAGACAGGGAAGGGGAAGTAATAAAAATACATGCCCAAGAAAAGTGCACTTTAAATGAGCTGTGATAAGGATTGAATGTAACCCATGTTAGCCACTCTCAATTTCCAAGCACAAATTTTGTAACAAGCCAAACACATACATGTATTTCATAAAGTAAAATTATTTTAAATATACCTGAATCTGCTGAACCTTTTAGCTTTTGTTTTGAATTCTTTGATGGTCTCATTCCTGAAAAAATAATACATCCAACATCACGTAGTGTTAAGGTGACAGCGTAGTGGTACGGGCTAATTTTACTGACATTAGCCACAAAAAAATACACTATTATTAGTGATAGTTCTTACTACCGACACACAGCTTCAGGAGCTACATGAGGTTATTTGATGTTTTTCAAGAGTTTTTTGACAAAAAATACAGTAAAAACCCATGTATAAGTACAAGTGGATTAAGAACACCCAGGCCTGATTTTAGGAAATAAAGTACCATTTATATAATCTGAACACATTCAGCCTGAAAAAATGAAAGTTGTTCTTAATGGAAAAATATCAAGATATAAGAACCAAATCAGCCTTAACCGCCAAAATAGGTGTTCTTATACGTGGGTTTTTACTGTACATGACATGTGGTGTCCAAAGTACTGTAGATCATGAAGCTGTTTTACATGGTGTAAAGCAACTAACCTTTTCCAAATGTGACGGCACTGACAAGGTTGTCTATATCAGGGTTTACGACAGGTGTATTTCTGGCAGCTGTTAATCATCAACAGTTTATGTAATATTAAGGTAAGTAAGAAACAAATGCAATTATAGCCATTGTCAAGGCGTTTTAACAACAAAAACAACATGATGTACTGCTACTGTTTTTGACTATTAGACTTCAGAAAAAACTGCTCTGAAACTGTTATTAAAACCTAGATAGTATATTGTTCAAAAAATATTAAATAGATTTTGCCTTGTTCTTCTGAGGGGATAAGTGTTTCTCAGTGTACATGTATGTACTGAATAAAAGTTTTAAAAATCTTTAGCATTATTTTCTAGGATCAAATTGACCACAAAAATGGCCATAAAAATTGCCAGTGGTAAACGAGTCTTAAAAAATACAGTAGTACACATTAAACTTGATTCCTCCATTCAAAGACCATTTTACTAATAGGCTTAATGTACATGTAATACTCGCCCCCCCTCCCCCCACCCCTGGAAAATGTACAACCCCTCCCCCCTGGAAAATGTACAACTGACATGCTCAGTGAGAACTATGATACCATGTGCTCTGGTGTGTGTTTGGAAGCTTTGGTCCATTAAAATTATACTAGTACATGTACACAACACAATAAGCAATTATCTTGATTGAGGAGTGTTACACATT